AGAGAGAGAGAGAGAGAGAGAGAGAGAGAGAGAGAGAGAGAGAGAGAGAGAGAGAGAGAATATGAGAATGCTGGCCAGTAGTGGAGCCACTACAGTGAAACAGTATTTTTTGGACATGGCAGGACTATTGCACACATGAACACACAGTGTTGTGACCTGATGCACAAGACCAGTACAAGCCCAAGCCAACCAAAAGCTTGGATGGGAATAGAGGTCATTAAGTCTCACCCCTAGTTTAGGAGCAATTGGCAAATGATGGCAGACTGGGGGTTGGAGAGTCAGTTTACTTCAAGGTTGTGGCCCTTGAAGGTTGCCATGCACATACAAGTAGTACTAAAGGTACTGAATTTAAAAAAAAATACAGGAAGTTTGGAGGGAAAAGTGTTGGGGAGATGGGAAGGAACTGGAGGCAAGAAAAGGAGAGGATTTGATCAAACACGTTGTATGCATGTATGATATCATATGATAAAATGTGTACCCTGGCCACCCAAAATCTATGCCACCACTTAATATCCAGGTCTTGACAGGTAAGGTTTTTTTTTTTAAATTTATCATTAGAAGATGACGAATGAAAGTAAACTTGGTCCAGTACCTGGTCCAGTGACATCCTACCAATCCAGTTGTATCTGGGGCTTAGCCAACCTCATTAAAGAGACAAATACTGCAGAAATCTACTCTTTTGCAAGTTTTATATTCCCACCTTGGGTGACTGGTGTATTGACACACCCTCTCTTCTGATATATGCTGAGTCTCTCTGTACATACTGGGTACAAAAATTAAGGTGTATATCTTAAAACTGCAGATTGAATATGCCTTATCTGAAATTCTTGTGCCCACGAGTATTTCATATTGAATCCTTTTTCTATTGGGGAGTATGTTTGTAGATTTGACAGCTGATTGGCTGAGCCCTGCTCCACCATCCCCCCAATATTAAAAATTGAACCCAAACTGAAAAACTTTTGAATTTCAATATGATCTTAAAGAGTTTTAGACTGTAGAACATTTCAGATCACAGATTTTTGGATTAGGGATATTCAGTCTTTCTAAGACAAATGGGGGATGCTAAAGATACAGGATTTGTAATGGTTCAAGGTAGCCCAACCCCGCCAACTACCTGTAGCTGTATGAGCTATGAGCTACAAATAGTGCCTACATTTCTAATGATTGGGATTGTGTAACTAGAGAACAGCTTTCAGGCACATAAGGAAGATGGAAGAGATTGGGGGAGATGAGGTCACTTAGGAGAATGCTTATCACACAAGCAGGATAAGCTGAGTTGGCACCCCCAAAACCCATGGAAAGTGCCAGATATGGCAGCACATGGATAGGCCTGTAATTCTGGTGTTGTGGAGGCAGAAACAGGAAGATCCCCCTGGGGTTCACTGGCCAGCAGTCTAGCTGAACCAGTCAGCTCAGTGAGAGACCCTGTCTCAGAACAAAATAAAAGTCAAATAAGATGACCAATTGCGTTGAGGAAGACAGCGAGCATCAGCCTAGTCATCAACCACATAGAGGGGAAGGGGATGGAGGGGCCGAGTTCAGGTTGTAGTGTCCATAAATAAAACCTTACCAGAACACAGACAGACTCGTTTGCTTACCTGTGACCTATGGTGCTTTTTCACTGTAAGGGCAGAACTGGACCATTGTAACAGACCATGTAACTTAAAGAGATTAAACTATTCACTGAGCCTCTATTGAAATGTTGTTGGCCTCTGAACGAGACCTTGGAGGTTATAAAATGAGGGTATTTCTTGCTTAGGATTTCTTTTATTGGACTTTTATAAAGAGTCCTTTGAACACTGAGTCTGAGAGCATCTCACGCAGCAGTTGCTGTCCCTGTGGACTTTAGCAGTACCTGCACACAGGGCATCAGAAGACAGCTAGGGTTCTTTTGAACAAAGTTGTTTTGGGGCGGGGGGAAGTGAGTCAAATTTCTGTCCATTACAGGAATGGCAGTGGAAGACCTGGTGGCAGCCAAACTAGTGTATGATTCTTGGTCATCTGGCAAGTGAGAAGAAGGAGCTGTGCTGTGCCCTGAACTGGATGTTACAGCTCCAAGGCTGTCTCGTGATGTCCAGATCAAATGAGGGAGCCTGGTCCCTGTGAACTGTAGTAGTTTTGTTTGTAAGTGCTGACTTCCTTACTCATGCTTGTAGTTGAGTAGCTAAACCAGGTAGCTCTTTCTTCTGTTAAACAGGTGATGTCATCATTGCCTGCCCTTGATCTCACTACCTTCGTATGTCTCTGAAATAAAGCATTTCCAGTTCTTCCGTGTGTCCTTTGATAACTTCCTGTGGAAAGGAAATGAAGAGGTCAAATGCTCACTCCATCCTTAAAGGAGGTGGAATAATATTTTCTCCATTTTAATTGAGTAAAATTACCATAAAACTGTGTGTGTGTGTGTGTGTGTGTGTGTGTGTGTGTGTGTTACCTGTTACCATTCTGGAGATCAGACCCAGAGACTCACACATGCTAGGCAAACATATTTCCAATAGGCTACATCCCTAGCACAGCTTATAACTTTAAGATGTACAATTCATTGGGTTTGGGTGAGGTTTGTAGAACCAGGTCCAGAATGATGTCATCCCCTGACGAAACCTCGCAGTATATTGCCCACTTCTTCCCAGTCTCAGGTTTCTACTGCTGCAGATTTACCTCTTCCATGAATGTCACATGCATCCAATCACAGGTTATGTAGCTGTGTGTATCTGTTTTAAATGTTTAAAGAAACACAGATAATGAGGCTCCCTTGGTCAAGATCGGTAGAAACCACAACTTGTGATTCATTGAATCTAAATGAATCAATGGTAACAGCAATCCATTGGTCCTTTATAACTAAGAGGCCAATAGGCCCCGTAAAGAGAACATGTCTCATGGCCAATAGATCAAAAAAAAAAAAAAAAAAAGCATCAAAGCATCAAGAGTCCCGTATTTAGGTTTATTCCCCCCAACCTGATGGCCTCTCCTTACTGTGTAAGTTAGCATAGGATATGGAGACAGTGTCTCAGGAAGTTTCTAGGGAACTAGAGGGGATCCGGGCATCTAAAGTGACCACAAAGCCTCTGAATTCCTTCCTATGACAACTGCTTCTCTGCACGTTATTGAAGACAAGTATAGCTTTAGCTTATTCCACAACAAAACACAGTATTTGTAAACAACTATCCCCTAATGTAGCATATCCAGTAACCCATATGCTTCCTGAATCCACTCACCCTGAATTCTGGGGAGGAATGAGTGAGTTCATCACCTTTGAACACCTGTATCCTGCATGGAGCCTCTTGAAGTAACTCAGATGTGAATGGAAAATTATTTAGGCAAAAATAACCTTTCTAATATTACACACAGAGTCAATGGTAAATTATACCTGGTGGTAGTCTGGTTAGAGAATCCCAATAAAACTTAGGTATTGGTTAGGGGTGGTTTCAATTTGAGATTGCCTTCTAAAAACTGTCAGCATAAAAAAAAATGCAAGACGTTCAAGAGAAGAACTGTACACATTGCTGGAGAGAAAGTAAGCTATGGAAACCAGTGTAGCAGCCCTTCCTTAACTGAAAACAGAGCTATCATGTGATCCAGGTATCCCATTCAACATACCACACAGACCTGCCCACAATAGCCAGGAATGGGGTCAGCTGAGATGTCCAGCAACCGATGCATGGGGAAAGAGATGCAGTGCATTACACAATGGAACTTTATTCATCTGTAAAGAATGAAATTAATAGATCTCAGGAATCAAAGACTGTTAAGCGAAATAAGCCCCATTCAGAAAGACTAATACCCCATATTTCTCATATACAGAATCTGTGTGTGTGTGAGCATGTGTGTGTGCATGTGTGTGAGTGCATGTGTGTGTGTGATGTAAGCAGAAAGGGGTCTGTGAAAAGTTTAAAGATATGGAAAATGGAGAGTGAGGAACAATAGAGTAAAATGGAATATATGTGTGTGTAACAATTGCACACACATATGTGTTTATATATTACATAATATATAGAGAGATTATATAATGTAACTGTTGTGTAGCTACTTTCTCCGAATTGAAACGTTACCTACTGGAGAGAGGAGAGAGGTTCAGAAGCCTCAAGAAGCTTATGGAAACTATGACATTCACAAGACTCCTCCCAAGGTGGAGAAAGCAGCAAAACTACTGGGGAGAAAAAGGGTCTCTGGTGGAGCCACCTGCAGCTTCAGGCAGGGAGCTCCCAGGATGCATTTTGGCTGATACAGCTACCTTTTGAGTTTTCCGTACTCCTGTTAAGTCAAACAGCACCATGGTTTTGAGTTAGACTTGGCAGAATTGTTGCTTTGACCTGTCATTGGTGTCCTATCTGGTGTTTGTGGGGGGATGGGTAGAATAGGCATTTGAACATAATTAAGAAAGAATGGTTTGTTTCAATTTATTACTGAATTTTTAATCCAGAGGCTTTGCTCCATTAATACTTTGTCTCCGTGCTTTGGACCTGTGGCTATGTGGTCTATTAGAGCATGTGACAGAGGGAACCCGCTCACTTCAAGGTGGACGGAAAACAAAGGGAGGGAGTATTTAAAATCCCAATACCCACTTCAAGGGCATACCTCTATGACCTAACTTCCTTTTACTAAGCCCCGTTTGGGAGATGGATGCCTACCTCCTCCCAATAGCTCCACAGGCAGATGTTCAAGCTGTTAGCCTATGGTTATTTGGGCTACATCTAAGACTGAAGCTATAACTTAGCGCACTTACCCGGACAGCGGCACCGCCAAAAAGCACTCACAAAGGGAAGGCACACACAACAAACATGGATGCGTAACATTTACTTTTGCCATCAATCTTCCGAAAACTAGTCTTCCTATACTTTTTCTACCTCCTTTTAAATCTCACAAGGCTCTAGCCCTTAGAAAGACTGTGAAATGGGTCAAGCATTGCTTTCCTGACCCTTCTTTCTCTCCCTTCACCGTCCCCTTGTTTACACACCACACTGTCAGCCTAGGCTGCCACAACAAAACACTGCAGGCAGAGTGGCTCAGACAACAGAAATTTATTTTTTCCCATCTCAGGAGGCTGGAAGTTCAAATGATTGTCAAATTTCCTGGGGGGGAGGGTGCTCTCGTTGGCTGATTGACAGCTGCCTTCCTGTTATTCTCTTTTCTTCCTGTGTGAGCACACCCTTAATTTATCTTTCTTTTCTTTAAGTGACATGGAATAAAGAGCCCACCCTTATCACCTCACACAGCTTTAATCACCTTTTTAAAGTATTATGTCCAAAAAGACTCACCAAGGCGTTAGGGCTTTCATACATGAACTTTAGAAATTTGGTCCATAACAGGCTCCTCACATTCTCCTTCTGCATCCCCCTACCTGCTACACACTGTCCTGACTCTTAGATAGGAATACTGTAAACCCAACCCTGTTGCTTATAAATATCTGTTGAAGGATTAGGTCCATTTAAGTTGGCTTTTACACTTTAGACCAGTGGGAGCCTTTGGTCTACACAGAATGCAAAGTCATGAGGAGAAACACAGTTGTCTTATTCCAAGGTCTCCTAGCTTTTCCCACTGATAGTTTACCTGAACACAAAGTATCTCCCAGAGTCTGGCTCTCTGTATTTGGGGTCCTCTCTAAAACCCTAACACCCACACCCAGAGGTATTTCATTGGACAGAGATCAGGTACAGGCTGCCTCCTGTGGTGCTCCCAAGGGGACTGTGCATGACCCCATGTTCAGATCACCCTGCTAAACAAGGGTCTCCATCAGAGGCTGGTATCCACCAGCTGCCCAGGTTGCCGGAGCGCCTGCTTCCTCTTGTCTATGGCATTAAGGACTTTCTTTCTGGGGCCCAGCTGCATGTGAATATTCTGAAGGTCCTCATCGGAGCAAAGCAGCAGGGCTTCTAGATCAATCTGCTCTCTCATGAAAACGGGGAGGAAGTCCTCTAGGTGCTGAGCCCGCAGGAACACTTCCAGGGGAGTGGCATCAGCCACATCCTCCTCCCATTCGACTTCATCTTCATCCCAGGGAAGATCACCGGCAGTTCCATCTGCCTCGCCCTCTTCATCCGCCTCTTCATCAGCTGCCCCTTGTCTTTCGAACAGCTCACTGGGCATCTTAAACCCCAACTCCCTCTTGCTGGCTGAGATGTCCTCGAGGTCCAGTACTCTGTTCCTTCTAAGAACAATACTCCCTAGCCCTGGACGGTTGAGAATAGACTCTACGTGCTGTACATCGCTGGCTTTCCCTGCCGAGAAACGGAGCTTCTCTCCGAAGTCATCTGGCAATGAGTCGTCTTCCTCCTCTCTGAACACTTCCATTACGTGCCTCTGCCCGTTTCTGTCCTCCTGCCCCACCTGCTCTGCTGTATCTTTGTTCTTCTTAAATTTTAACTTGAAGGTATCTTTAATCCCTTTAGACAGGGACCCAAATCCGCCGGTAGAAGCTTTGGAAAGGGACGACCCGGAGAAGGCGTCGTGGGAAGAAGAAAAAGTCCCAGCGTCCTCCTTGCTATAGTTGCGTGCCATCTTGCTTTGGTGCTTCTCCTGAAGTCGCTCGCATTCTTTCATCTGCCTCCTGGCGTTCCTCAGAGCCTGCTCCTTCAGTCGGGCCACCTTCTTGGGGTTCGTGGTGTTCTGTATGGTGGCAGCCTTATCCAGGAGAGCAACACATTCTTTCTGCTCCCTGCTGGCAGCAGCATCCAGTGGAGACTTTAAGTCATTATCCAGGGCAAAGATGTTGGCACCGAAGTTGACCAAGAATGAGATGCAGTGGGTGTGGCCGTTGGAGGCGGCATAATGTAGAGGAGTATTTCCCCAGATGTCACACTTATCGGGATCCCCACTAGAGAAGAAAATATGAAAGATGCATGTTAAAGTGGTGTGTTTTTTCACTGAACATGAGGTCTCTAAAGAAAAACAAAAACAACCAACAAAATGCGTGTTTATCCTGCCTTGACGTTGACATATGATGGTTGCTGAGTTTAGCTGTGTCAGAGCCAGATACCAGATGGCCAGAAATAGGGAGAGCCATCTCCTTGCTATGCCTCCCTTTTAGAAGAGGAAAAAAAATCTTTCCAAAAACTTCCTAGCAGAGTTACCTTCATATCACATTGGCCAGAGTTGGGGTCACATGACTCAGAGAAAGGAAATATAGTACCATGCCTGATTCTGATTGAGCTCAATTAGACGTTTCCCTGAAGCCAAGAATAGTATCATTCAATGATATACTTGTAAATATTTAACAATGGGCTCATTCATGGAAAAAAAATCAAATCCCTGATAAATAGTGTGTATGATGGTATAAATCTACACACCATGAAAATTTTCATCTTGCCACATCACCCCACTGGATAAAGAGACAGGAAGAAACAAGCAATAGTATGCTATTTCTGTTCCGCCGCAACCATCCATGGCCGTCTGTCACTTCAGAGCACACGCACAAGAAGAACAGTGAACTCACTGGGAAGTGGTGAATGTCAAGTGTGACATTTTAATAAAACTTGTTCACTAGTGAGTTCATATAACTTCAATAATTTCTGTGTTTAATTGTCCTGACAACTTAGCCGTATTCTCGGAGGACTTGGAGAGAGTTCATTCTAGCTAACACGTCAGCCCTCCCATGAGTCAAATGTAGAAAACAAAACAACAACAAATAAACCAGGAAAAAAGAGCTTCTATTTCCTGTGAGGCCTTGAGAAACAAGTACAGACCCTACTGAAGGAGGGGGATGAATTGAAAATGTTCTCACCACTGCTGCTAGGAAAGCTGAAACAGAAGCAGAAAAGACCTACCCACTTGAAAGGATGCTCATATACCATACTGATTCTATTTTGAGTAGTTTTTTGACCCAAACATACAGTTGGCAGCAACAGCAGATTAGCTGTGGTATTATCAATATGCAGAATCTGGAGCCCAACCCAGACTTATTGAATCAGAATCTAGAGCTTGACAAGATCTTCGGGTGATTCAGACTCCCTAGGTTAATGTGGTACAACCAGAATCCTATAACCTGATGACTCAGACGTGGGTCTCCTCCCTGTCAACTCCTGGTTTCCAATCACCATCCCAGGAGTAAGTAAGACTCTTGGAGGGTGCAATGTTTTGAATGATGGTGACAGACAGCACACTTCCACTTTTATTTTTGCAGTGCTAATGGAAGAACCCAGGGCCTCATATGTGCCTGTCACGTGTTCTACCGTGGAGCTGTATCCACAGCAGAACAGGTGGCGTCCCATAGAGTAGGCCTGTCTCATGTTTAACCATCTATGACAAAATAAAAGGCTTACATGGATATAACCCAGCTTGTACACTTAACCAGCATTTGAGGCTAGCCTTGGCTACATAGTGACACCCTGTCTCAAAACCAAAGCTACAATGAAGCAAAGAAACAAAGCAACAAACTAAAATCCTATCATTAAAATGTTACATTTCCATTAAGCATGACTGTATTCTATCCTAACTGAGACTAATAATGCCCCTTATAAGAGTTTTTCTGTAAACTTAAACATGTATAACATAGAAAAATGTTAGGCAAACTATCCATGTACTATTCAGTACATGTTATCAACATCTCTCTTTTCTCCATACTCATATATTTTTCTTTTCTTGTGGTCATTTGGTAAATTTCTACCACCACAACGCACTTGTGGGGTTTTTGTTTGTTGTTCGTTTCGGTATTTTAAGAGTGTTTCTCTGTGTATCTTTGGCTGTCCTGAAACTCACTCTGTAGATCAGGCTGGCCTCAAGCTCACAGAGATTCACCTGCCTCTGCCTCTCAAACCCTGGGATTAAAGGTGTGCGCCACATGAGTGTCCCACAATATGCATGCGAAGGTCTGAGGACAGCTTACAGCAGTCAGTTCTCTCCTTTCACCATGTGGGACCCAGGGGCAATCGCAGGTCATCAGACTCAGTGGCAAATGCCATTACTCACTGAGCCATCTCACCAGCCGTTTGTGTGTTTGGTTTTGAGGCAGCGTCTTACTCTGTTTCTCAGACAAGCAGGAACTCACTATGTTGTCCCAGCTTGCCTCAAACTCATGGCGATCCTTTTGCTGCAGCTTCCCACGTACCAGGATTGCAGGGGTTAATCACCATGCTAGCCTAGTTCTTGTAGTTAAGTATTTATAGATTTGTTTATTTATTTATTTATTTATCAAGTAGTTATGCTCCATTTACCCAATTAATTTTCCCAAAAGGAAAAAGCCTGCATTTTTTTTCTCGTTTTATAATCTGTAGTTTCTAGCAGATATTTCAAAATCTGTCCAAAGAAGACACACAACTGGTTTTCTCAGCAAAGATCAAGATATGCTCAAGCTCCTAGAAACTTCAGTAGCAAGGCAGCTCTGGCTACGCCCTAACGAAGCAGAAGCAGTGTTATCACATCCGCGTTTCAAACAAAGGCTGAACTCCAGAATTTCATGGAATTTATTTTAAATGTTGGATCAATTCTAAATGCAAAAAAAAAACCACATTGAAATCCAATAAAAGCCCATTTATGGGCTAGATCCAGCCAAAGGTTGGCCGCCTGTTTCACACAGAGAAGAGCATAGCACAGACAAGGATGGGTGATATCACGTGGCATATCTGGGCGTACATCGGCGCGACCAGATAGTGTGGAGTTATGGGTAAAGGAATGGGAGAAGGAAGGAAAGAAAGTGAGATTGAATCTAAGGAAAGCAAAGGCTACATAATGCCGTTTTGTTAGGGAGTCTCCGTTAAGAGGGCCCTAACCAGTTAGCCCAATTTAATTATTTTGGATCAAAGGAGACCCCCCTCTTCCAGTCTTGGCACAATCAAATCTTTGGGGAACACAGTTCCTCATCTCCAAACACGTGGTTTCACTTTTTATTTACTTAACTGAACACCATATTCAAAGGACCCCTTAAGCACCCTAGACATCAAAGCAGCGCTGGAAAACAGCCAAGATGTGGCTATGGTATAAACAAAAACACACTGACTAAATTCGCCCGGATTATCCTCGGATCGGATAAACTAGAGCAGGAAGAGCTGGGCAGGGTTGAGTTGTAGCAGGAAGTAACAGGGTGTTAAGTCTGGGTTAGAGCCACAGACTTCAGGCAGAATGAGTGAATGTTCCCATCTCAGCGGGGCTCCAGTGATGCTTTCAAGATCCAAGGAAGAACGTGAGAAAAGCCTGAGATGGGGCCGAGGTGGATCTTCTTTAGAGAAAATTTCAAATGCTGTCAGGAAGATGTTCCATGGGTTTTCCTAGTGCATCTAAACCCTGAGGACAGCTTTCCAATCAATATAAATTTATTTTATTATTGTCAAGCTTCATGAAGTCTTTCTAAACCTAATCCTTCCTTTCTCTGCCTCTATCTGTTTATAAGGAATCTTTCTATGTAACTAGGGCTGACTTTCAACTCTGAATCTTCCTGTCTCGGTCTCCTGATTTCTAGGACTACAGGTATGCACCACCATGCCTGCCTGACTCACATGTCTGTGTGTGTGTGTGTGTGTGTGTGTGTGTGTGTGTGTGTGTGTACACGTATGCATGCTCCAGTTCATACCCATAGAGGGCAGAGGTTAACATGGTTGTCTTTCTCAATTGCATCTTCATTTTTGTTCTTTTTGAAACAGGGTTTCTCACTGAAAGTAGAGCTCACCAATTAGCTAGACTGACCAGCCAGCAAGCCCCAGAGATGCTCCTGTCCCTGCCTCTCCAGTGCTGGGACTCCAATGCCTGCTGCTAAACCCAGTTTTCTGGCTCACATTTCTTAGCAGAACCAGGCATATATCTCTTCAGCCATCTACAAACCAGCACCTTTGTGTGATAGATTGAATCTAATGTCAATATCTTATGGATTCTTTAGGATAGATTCAATCTAGTGTTGATATTTTTTCCCAAAAGAGAAACTCTGAGAAGCAGTTTAAAATAAGCCATATTTTGCTCTTGACTTTTAGTAAGCAATAATTTTGGTCAATAACTTTTAAAGCAGCTTGTTATTGTTGCTAAGTGGGTAATTTGCTTAAATTACGACCCTCTAGGCATCTGCTCCACTCCGATTTCTTCTTTTGAAGTTGATTTTGAATATGTGTAAAGCTGTTCTTGGAAAAGAATAATTCTATCAAAATGTTTTTTTCTACATAAAAAGGAATTATTTGTACTTATAATAATGAAGTAAATGCCAATTAAAACCTTACACTGCCAGTGTTTGCCTATCCAGCAGAAAATGATTGAAAACTATCAGTTGTTTGGCTTTAGTGAGATCTCAGGGTGAGTACCACGCTTGGAAAAGCATTATCTGGCTCAGCTTGCTTGGCAGGATATAGATCAGAAGACTTGACACCAGGGCACCTCCCAGAAGTCACCGTTCTACTTTGAAGAATGTATCCCAAGGGAACGTGAGGCCTTGGACAAAGCTGAATGAACAAGGTTGTTCCTTTCAACTCTACTTATAATAACAGCCAACAAAAGTCAAACCGTCTTCACTGACAGAGCAAGAATCGAGAAGGAATTAAGTGTTATGAATGGGCAACTAATTGAATAAATTATAGAATCAATTTGCCTGCATCAGTGAATGAATGAAAAAATGTATGCATGTATGTACATATAAACATATACGTGTGTGTGTATGTGTGTGTGTGTGTGTGTGTGTGTACAATGGAATACTATCTTTCCTTAAAGAAAAAGACAATTTTACATTTTGAAACATGGATGAGCCTGGAGCACCTTATGTGAAATGAGCTAGACACAAAAAGACAAACACCTCACAATTTCACTTAAATATGGAATCTAAAATATATAAGACCTGTAGAAGTCTCTTGAGTAGACAGTGGTTGGAAGTAGGAGAAGTGTGGTGATATAGGTTTAAAGATGCAAAATATCCATTAAGAAGGAAAAGTTCAAGCAATTCAATCTACAATACGGTGCCAACATAAAAAACAATGCTTTTCGTACTTGAAATTTGTTAAGATATATTTTAAATATCGTCACCACAAAAATTGATAAGTGTGCCAAGGTATTACATAATTGGCAGGATCCAGTCATTCCATAATGTAAATGTATGTAAAATGCCATACTGTATATCATAAATATATGCACAATTTAGAAGACAGGGACTTGCTATGAAGTCCAGGCTGGCGTCATTCTCACCACATTCCTGACTCAGGGTGCTGGGAATATAGGTGTGCACTATCATCACGCCTGGCGTGATTTTTATGTGGTAATTTAACATAAATAAATAATGATTAAACCATACCATAGACTATCATGTAGCCGTGAAAAGCAGTGGTATGCATATCAGCTTTTAAGGGCAAATCGTTAATGACATGTTGTTAATTTATCCTTATGCTTTGGATGATTGCCTTTTTAAAGAAAACCATACATGTGCGCATGTGGGCAAAAGAAAAACTTGGACGATCATATTTATCGGTTAGCATTTTGGAATGAATGACCTTAAAGTTAAAATTATATAGCAGAGGCTGACAGATTTATGCACTTAAAATATATACTATATATCCATGTATTTGATAAGTATATATAGCATATTATATGTGCAAATATTTCTATTTTATTTAGAAAGTATCATTTGTTAAAATATGAATTGTAAGCATATTTATAATATATGACAATTATTTATATTGATTAGTTATACTAGTTGATAACTGTTAACTTTAAAAGCATTTTGAAAACTGGAGATCAGTGGGTAAATTGCTTGCTACACAAGCAAAAGGCCCTAAGTTCAGATCCCCAGACTCCATATAAAGTCAGATGCAGAGATATCTCTAATACCAGTGCTCCTCTGGCAAGACGAGAGGCAGGGACAGAAGGGTCCTTGGAGGCTCATGGGCAGCTAGTCTGTGAATAACAAGAGACCACTCTGCAACCTGGTGGACAGTGAGGACTGACACACAAAAGTGCCCTCTGACCTCCACGTGTGCACTGTGGCATGCTGACACCATCATTCACCCCTTACACATACACATACACATACATATCTTTGAAAATCAATTTTATAAACTAGTGTTGAGGGCCTCACCATAAAAGGGGCAGGGTTACAGATACACAGCTCACAAAAGGTAGAAAGACAATATCTGCTCAGCGATGGACTTCTCATCCTCAGTAGGAACCCCGCCTTCCATCTTGAAAAAGGGATTCCTTAGCAAGGAAGGGAATGTACATTTTTTTTGTTTGTTTGTTTGTCTGCCCCTTCTTTTGTCTCATCTACTGTGTGAGGACTCCACCTTTTTTCCCTCCTGAGGTGGCAGCAATAAGGAGCCATATTGGAAGTGGAGAGCGAGGATCTAGGCACTGAACTTCTTGCCAGCCTGATCTTGGACTTCTGAGCTGCTCTTAGAACTCTGGGGAAAGTTCTAGCCTCTGGAAATGGCCTTGCCTGTGGTACTCTTTGATCATAGCACAAGTGGGCTAAGATTCACGCCCACTGATTCAAAAACTTCAGTTCTGTGAATTTACACTTAAAAAGTATGGATGAAGATTTATGTAGAAAAACAATCATCACAATGATGCAAATTAGAAAAAATATATCTAACAGGGGGCTAACCTAAGAAGTAAATTTGCTGATTATAATACTAAAGTGTCCTTATAATTCAAGGAAACGTGAGATCCATCACTGCTATAACAAATAACTGAGGCATTGACTCAAAAGAAGAAAGATTTATCTGAAAACTTTTCAGAAGCTTCAGTGAATACTGTGAGCATGCTCATGACATGTACTCAATTCAACGAGGTGTCCATATCTGCAATCTGTTTAATCCAAACATGGATGTTGACCCTCTCTCCCTTTATTTGCTCACTTCTAATCACCGGCTAGTCTACATCCAAATTGCACCTCAAATCTCCCTATGCCTCCCATGCCCCTTGTCACCATGTTAGTTCAGTTCACCTTGAAGATCCTCAAAACATTCCCTGTAAGCACTGGGCAACCACCAGAACAATATTCATAAGTGTAAATCTATCTGCTGTGTCCCTTGTAAACACAGGGTGTGGTTTGAGACTCATGTCCTTAACAGAACTTTCAATGCTCCTGTTGTCTGGTTTTGTCGCTTTGGCTTGTCTTGTCCCTGGGCAAATCATGTCCAGCCAATCTCAACATCTTCCATCCCTGGAGTGCGCAGTGATGTTTCCTTCGGTCCTCGATCAGCTCACTGTCTTTCTAATACAAGCTGAATCTTCCCCTCTCTAAAACAGGCTTGCTGATGTCTACTATAAACCACTTGCTTGTCTTTCCCTCTGAAATCTGATTGCCACAATAGAAACCAGGACATTTTGTTGATCAGCATCCTCTAGACAGCACCAAAGATGAAGGAGAAGAAGAATCAAAGGAGGAGGAAGACAAGGAGGAGGAAGGGAGGACTGTCACCTGCCAGATGTTAGCTATGCAATATACTGAACACATTCACTTGGCTCCTTCCCTCCCCTGTCTTCCTTCTTCCCCTACTCGCTCCCTCAGATTCCTCTCTTGCTCCATCTTTAAGTAACAGCTGCCAACGCTGGCTAGCCCTCTGATAAACATCAGGGCAAGCAGAATAAGAGTTAGTAAAGACGAATTAACATTTAAGGCATAGTGTGTGCATATGTCTGTCTGTCTTTTTCTCCTTCTCTCCCTATTTCCTCTGTGTATGTCTGTCGGTCTGTCTCCCCTCCTGACTCCCCACCCGTGTGTGTATGTGTCTGTCTTTCTGTCTCTGTCTCTCTCTTTCTCTCTCTCCTCCCTCTCTCTGTCTGTCTTTCTGTCTGTTTCTCTCTCTTTTCCCTCTGTCTGTCTTTCTGTCTCTCTCTCTCCTCCCTCTCTGTGTCTGTCTTTTTCTGTCTGCTTCTCTCTCCTCCCTCTGTGTCTGTCTGTCTGTTTCTCTCTGTCTCCTTCCTCTCTGTGTCTCTGTCTTTCTGTCTACTTCTCTCTTTCTCCTCTCGTCTGTCTGTCTTTCTGTCTCTCTCTCCTCCCTCTCTGTATCTGTCTGTCTTTCTGTCTGCTTCTCTCTCTCTCTCATCCCTCTCTGTGTCTGTCTGTGTCTCTCTCTCCCTTCCCCCGACTAATCTCTGTGTGTGTTGTGTGTGTGTGTTGTGTGTGTGTGTGTGTGTTGCCTAGAAAGAAAACTAAGTATTGGTGGCCTGGAGATCCCTTTTATGTGAAGCCAGAAATTTCATTCAAGAATCAGGAACTTACAGCAAAACTGAGGGCTCAGAAGAGGTAGATTTTAGTGACACGGTTGAAAAAGTAAAATAAAAACTTGTTCTAACCAAGGAGATTGACTGAGCTGAGAAGAATGGTGACCTCTTTCTAAAGAGTCAACAGTTTAACTTCCGCAGAAATGATTTCCAATGCATACAATTACAATACCCACCCACCTCTCCGGCTGAGTGACTGCCAGGGGGCTCTTCTCACAGGGAAAGAAACCATACCTAGCTTAGTCTCCTCTTTCTCTGAGAGCCAACTACTTAGAGAGCCTAGAAAGAGGCAAACTGTTTACTCAAACGTCCCTGCCTCTTTGTTCTGCCGTGGAGTCCTCCAGGCTGCCCCGACAGAAATCGCTCACCCTCTGCTGCAGATTATTTCCAGGGCCTCAAGGTTGCCGTGGTAGGCTGCCAGGAGCGTGGGTGTCATGCCATCATCATCCGAGAGGTTCAGATCACGCTTGGTGGCCTCCTTCAGGAGTTCCAGGTAGCTGTCGCTCGCTGCTTGGTGATAGCGGGTAGCCATTTTTTCTGCCAACAAGGGCTTGGCCAGGTATCTTTGTCTGGGCAGTGCTGGTGGTACAGCCTTCCAACAGGGCTGGTTAATCAGTGACAGGGACCATCGCCTCAGGCCAAAGCTCATTCCAGCATCATTCCTTGGAAGGCATCCAGGAAGGCCTGAAGCTCAGACTCAGCCCTTTCCTCTCAGAACCAGTCATGACAAGGAACGCTGAGGCCTGTCGTGTCTGTCATGAGTGTGGTGAAGCACATTTAATCTTTACTGTGTCCACTAACAAGTGTCAGATGTGATACTGGTCACCCAGGCACAGAATGTAGACAATAACCTCAATAAACTCAGAACTGTTAAAGTTTACTGGTGTGGGAAAAGAAGTGTTTCCGTGGATTTTTACACATATAATTTGTACAACTTGAAACTTATCATTTGAAATATAAAAAGAATGCTTTTGGTAAATTTACAGTAGCAAAACCATAGTGTGGAGAGAGGCTGCCTGACAGACCAGAAAGCAAACAGGTTGCTGTCCAGGAATTGCGGCAATAGCCCGGTCTAGGTAATTTCACATGAAGGAAACAGAGCACTTCCTGGCTGCAGAAGGATGTAACTGAGTGAAGCCAGTCTAAACCAAGTACAGCCCGAACCACAGGCTGCACTATGTAAACCCAGGGGCCTCTGGAAATTAAATATCAACCAATCAGAACTTCCCTCATTTACATAATGATGTTTGCCCTGGGTCACCCTAACCACACTTCAACACGGCCAACTCCTATACACCACTATTTCATGTAGGTGATCTTTTTGTTCATGCTGCTATTGTCTGTTGAGTACTTACAGCACATTTAAGGAATTCATTTCTTTCTGGTCTCGCCAGTCTTGTAAATTCAAATACTGGCCAATGGCCTGCTTACGACTCAATTTTGCAACATTTCCTCCACACTAAAAACATCCTTCATTAACCTATAATCCTGGAACCCCTACCAACTCAGACTCTCACATTCTAAATAAACAATTAAATATAAAAACAAAACTTTTAAAAGGTATCCTTTGTGTAATGAATTCCTACTCCCAGCCCTAGAAAACCATGAATAGATTTTCTCTTTTTATAGCTGCATTTGTGAGTATTTCATATCAATGAAAGTCTGAGCTACAAGTTTTGGGGGCTCTTATAGAAAAGGAGTATGTTTTGAAGTCATCTTTTAATTGTTGAATAATGTTCCACTGTACTAGCATTTCAAATATCCTTTATCCATTTAATACTTATATTGGTTTGATATTTAAGTTGCTCCCATTTTTTTTTACATCTCTTGGGTATATAGCAAGGCAAAGAATTTTGGTTTTCATAGTAATTTGTATTTAGCTTTAAGGAATTGTCAAATAGAATTTGTAAGAACAGTAAGATAGCTATGGTGGACTGATGGATGGTATATTTCAGAATAGCCAGGGAGAGCATTTCACAGAGAAATGATAAATGTCTTAGGTGATACATGATTTGATCAATGTATACATGTATTAAAACTTTACTACGAATAACAATATATACTTTAAAGGTACCATGTTAGAAACTCTGTGTGTGTGTGTGTGTGTGTGTTGAGGTAGGATTTGGCTTAGCAGGTAAAGTCCTTGCCTCACAAACACAAGGATCTGAATTTGAAACCCCAGAACTCACATAAAAAGCCGGACACAGACGCGCCTGTCTGTAATTCCACCTCCTACGGCAAGGTAGAGGTAGACACAGGAGAAAGCCTGGAAGCTCACAGGCCAGCCAGCCAGCCGGGGGAATGCAGAAGTGACAGGAGACTCTGCCTCAAACTCAAGAAGCAAGGGCTGACACCTGAGGTTGCTCGCTGACTTCGACTCTTGTGTGCTTGTGCTTACACACAAAAACATGCATGCAGTACACATTCTCTCTCTCACACACACACAAACACACACACACACACACACACGGGGGGGGGCAGCGAGGGAGAGAGACTATTTCACATCCTAGGAGGGTATTACCCATGAGGGTTCCAGTTTCTCTGCATCCTTGCCCACTCTTGCTACATTTCAGTTTTTCTCGTGGCCATCTCGGTGTGCATGAAGTGACATTATTATGGCTTTAGTTTGCGTTTTCCCAACAACGCCTTTCAACTGCCTCTCGGCCACTTTTACATCTGCTCTTCAAACATTTTCCCTGAGTTTTCATCTGTCGTTCTATTACCAATGGATTATGAGAATCCTTTATATATTCTGTATATAAGTTTTCTGTTAACTATTTGGAACAGAATGAAAAGGGAAACAGATCAAAATTTTTAAGATGAAAGTTGGAACAGAGTTGAGGAGAACATTTGCGGGTTTTCTAACACCTAACTTGCAAACTTGTCTGTAACCAACCTAAAATTAAGTGCCTCAAATTCCTCAGTCACAAGGCTCAACCGTGCTTTATATAAATAGACAAAGCTAAGGCATAAAATCATTGAAGGACTGAAAAGAAAAATTATATCAAATAAATGCCAATAAAAATACTGTAGATAAACTTGTAACAGACAAAAAAAGTCCCAAAAGTGTTTATACAGATAATGAGAGGTGATACTAATAAGGGAAATAAAATTCATTTAAAAGAATATTTTGGAGCTTTTATATACCTAATGTGATATTTTGAATGTCCCTCATAACCTCACAAGTCTCAGGCGTTAGAATACTCGGTCCCCAGTGGTGGTTGTTCGGGGAGGGTTAGAAGGTGTGGCCTTGTTGCAGATAGTATGTCACTGGGGTGGGCTCTGAGGCTTCAAAAGACCCCTGCCATTTCGAGTTAGACTCCTGTTTGTGGTTTGAGATATGAACCCTCTGCTGCTCAGCTATCTGCCATCACAGTCTCTAAGCCTCTGGAACTGTAAAACCAAAATGAACTCTTTCTTCTGGAAATTTTCTTGGTGATGGTGTTTTTACCACAGAAACAGGAAAGTAACTAAGACACTCAACAAGAAGATGGGGTCAGCATCGAGAGGCTCATCTGCCAAGCCTGAAGACGAAAGTTTGATTCCTGGGACCCACAGGATGGAGAGAAGCAACTCCAGCACGTTGTCCTCTAACCTCCACTCACATACAGTATATGGCACATGCACCCCCATACACAAAGAAACAAAATACCTAATAACACAGCCTCCAAATAGAAGGAGGAATTAAGCAGAATTTAAAGAAAAAAAAAACAAGTATATAACCATAGTGAAATTTCTAATGTCCTCGATTATGGCAATAAATATTAGTGATGATACAAAAATTTGAATGCAATTGCCAAGCTTTATCAAATAGTTACATATAGGAAGGGTCATATGCCCAATAAAATGCCTGAATGGGGGGCTGGAGAGATGGCTCAGTGGTTAAGAGCACTGACTGCTTCTCCAGAGGTCCTGAGTTCAATTCCCAGCACTCACATAGCAGTTCAAAAACTGCTTGTAACTCCAGTTCCAGGTGATCTGACACCTTCACACCAATGCACCTAAAAGAAAGTTAAAGAAATTAAAAATAAATAAATAAAAAATAATAAAATGCCTGGATGTTCACACACACACAAAATATTTATAAAATAAAAATTGATCAAATAAAAAGTTTTATAAATATATGTTTTTTGAACACACAAGTAGCAATCTAGGTATATATATTCTCTTGTATATTTTTATGCCATTTTCATTTTAAAATGTACTACTTATCATTTCTCCCTTTTTGACACACTGTATTTTCCCACATTGTTAAAAAAATAGCCTTCACTAAACTTACGTGAAGATGGTCTACTTTTAAACAACTGAGCATTCTGTTTAACTCTTTTGTTCAAATCTTTATTCCATAAGAATTTGTTTATTTGTTTGCCTATGCTGCAAGAGTGCACAGCTTCCATCTACAAGTTCTTCGCAGCAGTGACTGCTCCAATAGTCACTAGAGTTTCTTCCCTTTTCCCATTTCTTTTTTATAGCAGTGGAGCTGTACAAGCTACCTAGGGGTAGTACTATTCAGCTATAAAAAACAAACTTTGTCAAATGGAAAAAAGAAAGCATATTTAACAAATGGTGCTGGCATAACTGGATATCAACATGTAGAAGAATAAAAATAGATCCATATCTATCACCATGCACAAAACTCAAATCCAAATGGATCAAAGACCTCAACATAAAGCCAGCTACACTGAACCTTGTAGAAGAGAAAGTGGGAAGTACACTTGAACGCATTGGCACAGGAGACCATTTCCTAAATATAACCCCAGTAGCACAGACACTGAGAGAAACAATTAATAAATGGGACCTCCTGAAACTGAAAAGCTTATGTAAAGCAAAGGACACGGTCAGCAAGACAAAATGACAGCCTAGAGAATGGGAAAAGATCTTCACCAACCCTACATAGGAGGTCTGATCTTCAAAATATGCAAAGAACTCAAGAAATTGGTCATCAGAAGAACAAATAATCCAATAAAAATAGGGTACAGACCTAAACAGAGAACTCTCAACAGAGGAATCTAAAATGGCTGAAAGACACTAAAGGAAATGCTCAACTTCCTTAGTCATCAGAGAAATGCAAATCAAAACAACTCTGAGATTCCATGTTACACCTGTAAAAATGGCCAAGATCAAAAACACTGATGACAACTTAGGCTCAAGAGGGTATGGATAAAGGGATCACTCCTCCATTGCTGGTGGGAGTGCAAACTGGTACAGCCCCTTTGGATATCAGTATGGTGATTTCTCAGAAAATTAGGAAACAACCTACCTCAAGACCCAGCAACACCACTTTTGGGTATAAAACCAAAGGATGCTCAATCGTGCCACAAGGACATGTGCTCAACTAGGTTCATAACAGCATTGCTGTCATAGCCAGAACCTGGAAATAACCTAAATGCTCCTCGACTGAAGAATGGATAAGGAAATCTGGTACATTTACTCAATGGAGTACTACACAGCAGAAAAAAATAATGACATCTTGAGATTTGCAGGCAAATGGATGGATCTAGAAAACATCATATTGAGTGAGGTAACCCAGACCCAGAAAGACAATTATCATATGTACTCATTCATAAGTGGTTTTT